ACTCCTCCAACGCCATTTTTTAGTCCTGAATGTCCTTTATCTAATACGACCAATATACGGGGTCAAACTACCCAAAGATCTGTAAGTATTCTATTAGAATAAAATTCAATTTCTATTTTTTATGTACTTAAATTTTTTTTTTTCATATATTATTTTATAGAAATCGCGAGTGGAGGCAATGTTGGAGCGTGCTCTGATACAGCCACAACAGTGTTCCGTGGATCCACTCTACAACGCTCAAAATTGGGGAATTCCTATTTGGGCAATTGATAAACTTCAGGCTTGGCTTGACAAAATCTACACATCTATTAAAGATACAAATCATTTAAAACAATTAAGACACTCAAATCAACAAAGTTCAGTTAAAGATATAAAGGTCAGACATTTCAAGGGTTCTTATTTAAAATTTGAATCCTTTCAGAGGTAAGTTATTTAATATATAAGATCTGTAGGAGAATAAATCTTATTACTCTAAATCATAATATCATATCAACATAGGAATACTAGACCTGTATTTGTTGAATTGCCTGTGTGGCCAACATTGAATTTTCACGGCGATCCAGGATCTTGTCCTTTCAATACAAAGAGACGAGAAAAACTGGAAAAATTAGAAAAAGAAATCAAAGAAAACAGGGAAGATATTCAAACTATTAACCAAGAGGAGGTAATGTTAAATATATATTTAACCTATATTTAATTATGTAATATTTAATTGATAAATTCTAAATGCAAATTATTCTTTTTAATATGAATAGGGAAAAGAAATGACTCGGCGACCACGAACAACTGCCCGTACTCGAAGAACAGAACAATTAGCTTCCGGTTATTGTGAAATTTGCCGTATTAGATATCGAGATCTAAACAAACATGTACAAAGCGATCAACATCTTAGTTTTGTCCGAAATGATGATAACTTTTTATCTTTAGATAAATTGATTAATGCAGGAGCCAATGTAGAAGCTTTCCTAAAACTAAACAGAGGAAAAAATGTAGAGTATGTAAAAAATTTTAAAAATTAGACTATTTATTCATAATAAGTATTAAAAATTTGTTTAATAAACATTTATAAAACTTTACTTATTTTTTTATAGAAAAGACTGCAATTTATTTTCCAATGGAGATCGTAATCTTCATGACACAGTACTGCCAGAAGGAAAAATTAATAGAAATGCGAAAAGTTTAGGGGATTTTGATGTTGGAGATATAAAGATGGTACAACGCAATGGTACACGTAGGAATCTCAGTTTAAAATTAAATTCTTCTCATAATTTACGTACTCGTACAAAACATGAAAGCGGCCATTTGTTAAGGTCAAAAGGTAGTCCTTGGCATGAAGCTGAAAAAACAGAAAAATTTTATGATGAATTTGAAGGTTTCACTATTAAAAAACGTGCAAAAGGAACAATTTGGATTGAAGAAGATGATCCAGAAGATAAGTATATAGAAGAACATGAATTAAAAGAATCTAAACAAAATGAATATAAGATTAAAACATTTTCGGCGGAATTGGAAGAAAAATGTTGCGATAAGAAAAATTACGATATGTGTAATCATAACAAACTTAAAGATTCTAGTAATCAAAACTCACAAAGGACAATAACTTGTAATAATGAGAAAAACAGTATTGAAAATAACATAGAATGCATTAAACAAGAACAAACTCTTACAAAAAATAGAAATCATGATCAAATTAATGGAAACATAAAAAATCGTTGTAACGAAAATCTTTTAAATATAAATGATAATACTTGTAATGAATCTTGTAAAGTATCGTCTAAAACCGAGACTCTAAAAGAATTGAATTGTAAATTACAGGTAGAGAATATTTCTTCGAATATAAAAAAAATTTCAGAAGAACATAATAATATTAATGTAAACAGCATTTATAATGGTCATACTATAAAAGATGAACAAAAAGTTCATAAAACATTGAATAGCTTAGAAAAAAATGAAATTTTAAAGGAAGAAAAATCGAAATGTTTTAAATCAAATAGAAGAGGCAGTAGAAGCGTCAGAGGGCGACATAGATTATCCGTTGAAGAACGTTTAATCGAAGATAATCGTGCATATTATAAAGTGGAAGTGTTAGGAAGTAAATTAAGATCAAGTGTATTATCAAACAATAATTCTCAATATACAGTTCCAAGAGATGGGGATGGTGAAGAAAAGAAAGAAGTGCCATCTAGTGAAAAGCCAGTAGTTGTACGATTTAAACGTGTAAGAAAATCAGAGTTATCATTATTAAGTGATGAAGCGGAATCTTTTATGTTTCGAGAACTTAAACGAGATGATTCAAGTGAAATAAGCGATGATGATGAACAGAGTAGTATATTACCAAGAGACACCGAAAGTGAGTGTAACGATGCCAGCAATTCTATATGTCGTAGTTCATTTGTAAATTCATCTATAAAATCGGAAATTGTCGAAGATGATTCTCAGGATTCTGTAAATTTGGGTCGAGCTAGAAAAAGAAGACGCACACAAGCAGAAGCATTAATCAAAGACAATGTTGATTATTATAAATTCGAAATTCCTGGAAGCAGATTAAGGTATCAAGCACCTTTAACTGGAATTAAAGATTTATCGATAAGCGAAAATCAGGAAAAAATAGAAGGGATAATTTCAGAGAAAAATGCACAAACAGAAAAAATATATCCGTCCAAACCCTCACCTGAAGTTGAAAAAATGCAATTTTCTTTTGAAGCTGTACCAAAATCTGAACCATGGTATCAAACATACCAACGACAGGATAAAGGAGCTGAATTTTGGCATTATTTTACTGAAGGAGATTCAGAAAAGCCATTTCTTTTACCATATGAAATTGAAAATTTTCATGAAATTTTGATGAAAAATCAAAACAGAGCTGAGAATAAAAGAAAAATTCGTGGAAGGAGTATGGGATGTATTGGACGATCTCCTAGAAAAAGTCCTCGTTGTCATGCTTCTACATTAGCTATTATGTCAACTATTATTAGAAAAAGAGAACAACAACAATCTTCGAATTTGCACACAATAGATGAATACCATTCTATCAGATCACAAATAAATACTCCGGGATTGGATCAAAAAACTGAATTAAAATCGGATGTAGACGAAGAATTAAAGGAAATGATAAAAAGTATTGATGAGATGCTTGATAATGCAAACGATAGTTTAGAATTGGTTGAATCATTCGAACCAGATATAATGCAAATGGAATTGAATCTTTATGAATCAAATATTCCAAGAGGACCACCTTCAAATCTACTTGAATTATTGGACAGTTGTCACGAAATCGTAAATTATTTAGAAAATTCATCATGTGCAAGCTCAGAGTGTGGTGAAGGTAGTGTCGAATCACCTTTAAAGCGAAGAAAAAAGAGGAAAAATAGAACGGGCTGGCCTGGAATCAAAATGAAGAAAAAACTCCAAAGTAAACCTTTAATAGATATAAATTGTGACAGAGAAAATTTAACAGAGAAAAATATTGAACAAAGCGGGAAAGATTGCAATGTACAAATCACAAATATATCTAATAGATTAGCAGAAGAAGGTAATATCAAAATAGGTACATCTATTATTGTACAAGATGAACAATCATTAAGTTTCGATCAAAGAAAAGATGACAGTCGTTTATTTGAAATGTATACTTCTAATATTTCGTCTAATATACGTCACAACGAAAACGAAAAAAAAGATGTAAGTATAGCGGTTTCCGATAATTCCATATTACATACAACAAATGCTGAATCCTGCACAGGTTCGCTTACATCTGATGTATGCAACGAGACTGACAGGAATTTCGTATTAAACAAAGATTATGGATTCAGAAAAAGTTTGTCTGAAATCGAAGAAATATCGGAAAACGATCCCGGAAATGATGAAAATCATGAAAATATGTTTCGAAAAGATATTCATTCCATATCGGAACGTCGATTTATTTCAAATGCAACTATCAAAAAACGACAACGTGACAATACATCCTCTGAAACTTGCGATTCGCGTGCAGAACTTGAAAATCATGAGATTTTATGTAGAAAAGATGCCGAAACTAGAATTGTTCCCAGGAAACATCATAACTCAAATGGATTACCGAGAAAACGACAACAGAAAGTTCATTCTGAAAACTCTGATTCTGAAATTGAACAGCATCATCATCATCATCACCATCATCATCATCACCACCATCATCACCACCATCATCATAATAATGTATATAAAAGAAATACAGTAAATTCGCGAAAACGGATTTATGCAAAAAAGCGTGCGAGAAAAAATAATATATCTTCAAATACAGTATTTGAAGATGAAAATTGTAAAAAGGATTCCTATTTAAGTATTACATGTAAAAAGCAACAAAATATGAGAGGTATAAAACGACGAGCTAATACTATGTCATCGGAAACGCAAGTATCTGAAGTCGATTGTGCATTATCAGGACATATTAGTCCAACAATTATAGCAACTTCTGAACTTGAACAAAGACGTTCAAGTATTGAATTTCAACCAGTTGTTAGGATGATGAAGATCGATGATCAAGTTGAAATGGATCACAGTATTCTCTCGGTAACAATTGCAAGCAACAGACGGTTACGAAGTTCCAGTTCACCGAGATCGAATACTCAACCGCCGAAAAAGCGTTTAAAAAACAATCGCGGTCAGTTCGGAAGATGGTTAAAAAGTAGCTGAAATCCTCGATAAGATTTTTTGATAGTTTAAGTTTCAAAATCGAGATTCACTTTTTTTTACAATATCTCGTTGTTGAAATTTAATCTATACATTTTATCAATATGTAAATTATGTATAAAGTATTTGTGTATGTAGAATAGTATTTAACACTACTGGCGCACCATTAATAGGGTTTTATTAATATTTTCCTTAATATCCTTTTCCGATAAGAGTTCTATTAAGAACCTTGTACAATGTTGTTTAGGTGCAGACTTCGCATTTTTGAATCAGAAAATTGACGTACGTATGTATATCTATGTTTAAACAAAGTACTTTTTTTTTTTATTTTACTTATCTTGATATACGTACAAAAATATACACATGTGAAAAAAATTATTTTTATTCATAAAAGCAGGCTTTAGAATATGCAATGCTGTATACAAGCTTTATTGTAGTGTAACAATAATTTTCTGTTATAAAACACATCATTGAATGTAATATATATATTCAATATATATACATATATATTGAATTCCCTTGCGAGGGTCCACCTAAATATTTTATTTCAAAAAAAAAAAAAAAATAATACAAGCCTTTTGCGATTTCAAAAAAGAGATGACTATTAAAGATATGATTTTCCATTAAAAATTATAACGGATGGATTCTACATACTCCTAACCTTTCTTGTTTTATATTTAATTATGATATAATATATAAATTTAATGTTATAGTATATAACATTTAATTTAACTTTTATTAGACAGCATATTATAAATATTTAAAAATTTTTTTAAATAATTTATTATGTTATATTTTTGATTATTTTAAATTCTCGCGTTCTATGAATGCATTTTTTAAATCTTGAAGTTTTTTTTTCTTTTGTTTTTTCTTAATAGAATCTCTTTTCATTAATTGTTCCTTTTGATTTTGAAGAGAATTTTGACCATTAACTAAATTATCTAACCTTGTTAACAGTATTTTTCTAGCAATTTTTCTATTTTGATCTAAACTTCTAGTTTCATGACATTTTACAACTAATCCTGTAGGTTTGTGTTTTAAAACTATTGCATTAGATGTCTTGTTAGTTGCTTGGCCACCAGGTCCAGATCCTTTCACAAATTGCTCTTGTAAATCACTTTCTTCAAGCTTAGGTATTCTTGAATAATCCAAAAAACGTTTGTATGATTTATATCGAATTTGTTTCCCACCATTTAACAAATCATAGCAATTAATATTATTGATTTTATAATGTAAAGATTCAGACATTTTTTTAAAAAGTACTGATAATATATACGTATTACTACATTCGTTGAAATATATTCTACTAAATAATTTCAGTATTGCAATAAACATTATATAATTATATTTGTTTAATTTCACTATAAAAAATTCTATATTTATACTATTCGTTGATTTTGTAAGAGTTTTTTCCCTTTCTGAAAAAATTATATAAAAGAATAAAATTACTTTTAGGTTAAGTATAAATTTTATTTTTTTTTTTCGATAAAAAAAATATTTACGATTAAAAAATTGAATTATTTTATGAATATTTACCTGCAACTGAAAGTCAATCTCTCTTTGATCAATTAAATGTTTATTTTGTTTAAAATTTTTACGAATTCTGGATCGAAAATATCCTTTATCTGTATATTTCAAATTTTCACCATAACGCAATAAATCTTTATATAATTTTAAAACCGTATTTCTCATTTTATAATTTTATTAAAAATCAAAATTTCTTATACTCTATTTATTATATAACTAATTTCTTTTTATTTAAATTAATGATAACTAAAACTAATTTCCAGTCAATCTTCTTTTTAACCTCTTATTGTCCGTTTTGCATACCATTATTGATTACTAACACATTTATTAATTTTAAATTCATTTTTAAAATTTAATTTATTTTTATTTGTTTTAATACATAAATATATTTAATCAGAATTATTAAATTTTACATTGCAAAAAAAGAAGTATATTTGATTTTAATTTTTTTGAATTATTTTTAATTTTATTATTAATATCATTTAAAATTCTGCAATCTTTTCCTTTTTCTATTATATCATTTTTATTTTTTATGAATAGAATTAAGGTAGAAAAATAAATAAATTAAACTTTGGTATGAAAAGTAATTTATTTAAAAAGTGATACTTTAAATAAAAAATATTTGAAAAGTTCTTTGCTTTGTATAAGTATGATTTTTTGTAATAATTCCATATACACAAACTTTGTTATTACAATTCTTGAAACTCCATTTCAAACAGTTTCTTAATTACATTATTCATTTGTAACTCTTCTGTTATTTCAATTATTAATTCCTCTATCAATTTATCAGATATCCTATTTAAAAATATTGTTTAAAAATTATTGTTTAAAAATTTTATGATTGAAATAAAATGTAATTTAATTTTCTCACCATGCCACAATGTCCCATGGTTTATTCTGTGTGTTGCTGGAATACATTGGTTTTGATTGACAAAATTTTTTATATTCACATCTATATGTTAAAAATTGTAACTCAATTTCTTCTGAAATAGCAAGCTGTATTGTATCTTTGATATTTGAATCCATAATTTTTCCATTGTCAATAATCTAATTATTTATTATAAAAATATATATAATTTCATTTTTTTCAATTAGATATAGTATATTTTACATCACTTACTTTTAATGCAATTTCATAATCTACTTGACATGAAGCATCACATTGAGTCATTTTAGGAACTTTTTCCATAGAAGATATACAAATGAATTGTACATTTTCATCACGTTTTTTAATTTCAGATAAGCTGTTGCAATGCATAAAATATTCAGTTTTATTTTATTTAATCAATATCTACTTTTATTATTGTGTTCTATTTACCCATTCAAATTACAATATGATTGTTCATAATTGTTTTTTGTTAAAGTTGTTTTAGTATCATAATCTTTAGGAGACTGATATTTTTGTAAAAATTCTCTTAACGTTTCCACGGATGTTTCCGAAACGGGTTGCATCTCAGATTCGTTTTGCTGTCATATGATTTATAATAATGTTAATTTTTAATAATATACAAATTAAAAATATTAAATTGAAATAAGTTTACCATTCTTGATACAAAAGTTATTAAATCGTTTATTACAGGAACTAAAGTAGCCAAATGTTCTTTAGGAATTGTGGTTACTTTTTTAATTAGATCATTTTCATCAGTAACACTTTCTACTTTAATATTTCCTCCTTTTTTTCGTATTGCAACAGATTGTGGTTCACTATTTGTAGTAGGTTTACATTTAGTTTGAATTTCTATGTTGCTGTCCTATTTTATAAAATTAATTACTTATTAAGTCTTCTCTAGAAACAATTATCAATATATCTTACATTTTCAGAATCTATCGTTATTCCTTCCATCATAGTTTGAATGTCATCTTCTTTTAAATTGTTTATATTTTTTATAGAATCAATATGAACATCCCTAGAAGAAGTTGTATGAGTTATAGGACTGGGATACAACATTTCTGGTAATGAGCAATCTTGAGTATATAAGTTTTTACTATCTTTAGTATTATTTCCATTTTCTTTTTGATAAGTATAATCTGTAAAATATATATGTAAAAATTATAATATGTTTAAAATAATGAAGATCAAATAATAAGAAACCTTAAGTAGTTTTCGTATACTTTTTCTTCTTATGTAATTTCTTCTTTTTTGGTTAGACTTAGATATTTTAACATCCATATTGTACATACTTAATCGACTAGATAAATTTTTTCGATTCAAACGTCCTTTGTTAGGCAAAGATATTGATGCAGTAGTTATAAAAGATTGAGCATTTTTATAATTTGCATATCCATATTTACTTTCTAAATTTAACTTCAATTTCGCTAATATAGCATCGCATTTATCTTGAAGATTTTTTTCCTGCAAAAAAAAATTTATTAATCAATTTTAATGATTTATAAATATAAATAATGAATTACCAGCGGTATAATGGTAGTATCTCCAGAACAAAAATAATAAGAAGAGATTTCAATTTTATCACAAATATTTATCAGATTGTAAACAATTTGTAATACATCTTGCAATTTTGTAGAATGACCATCAAGAATAGAATTAGGAATATGTTTACAATAAGCAGTTAAAGCTTGCATTAATAATTGGTGTGCAGCAACTAATTTTTGTTTAATCATATCTTGATGAAATGCAATATTTTTATGATATTGTTTTAATCCTGATCTTGAAGATACAGCTTTGATATGTCTTTGAATGCTTGTAACAAATCTATTTAAATTGTATAAATAATTTCTTGAAAATCTTATAGCAAATTCTAATGTTTGTTGTTGTCTTCTTTTTAAATCATTTTCACCATCTGGTAAAGGAATTCTGCATAATCTAAATAAAATTTCATCTAACAATTCAGCAATTTTCTTTTGCATTGATAAAAGTTTTTGTATAGTAAGTGGATCTGGTTGTACATAAACAATATCATCTTTGTTATTACTTGAATCTGTATCAGAATTATTTTCAAAATGATTTGTTGCACGAAGAAGTTGGTTTGTATAACATTTTTTTTCTGTGATAGTAGAATCTGACAAAGATTTTTTAGCTTTAGATCTAAAAACTGTTTTCTGTCCTTCAAATTCCTTAGATATACAAATATTATTGCTTTGTGAAGTTGGAATTAAAACATTAGTTTTACATGTATCTTTATTCTTTGTTAATATTTTTTCTTTTGAAGAATTATTTCTGATATTGTTTACCTAATGTGAATAAATTAATATTAATTTTATTTATTATATCTTAAAAAACATTTATTATGTATAAATATATAAATATTATAATAAAAATTTAAAAACACTTACTTTTGAATAAATCATTTCATTTTTAACATTAGATTTAGGGTTTTGAATTCCTTTGCTTCGTTCAGGAAGAGCATCTTCTTCTAGTCTTTTCAGTTCTCTATCTACATTTTGTATATTTTCTTGCAACAGATCTTTTATATTTTTTATAGAATAGTCAACATCTTTTTTGTCAAACCTCAAACTATTTAACTCCTGTTCTTTGACAAATGAAGCCCAGATACGTTCCTCATCCTCCTTACGTCTGTGTCTCTGTACATTTTTTACTATATGTTTAAAATGACTCTCAGGTATGTACTATAATAAAAAATATCTTCTTAATTAATAGTATTTATATAATATATAATAATTATACGTTTATATATATATTTGTCAATTTATATAAATACCTTAAAGCTATAATCTTTAGTTACTTCTAAAGAAAGAAAATGTTCTCTCTCTTTATTGTTTATTTCATTGGTTGATCTATTTTCTACCATAAAAGACATTTTTTCTTAGAATTGGATTAGTCTGGATTGAAATTTTATATAAACGATAATTAAATTTTATTACATTTACGTGACAACACAGTAAAAAAAGTATATCAAAAAATGTGTGAACTCCAGAAAAATGAATGTATGTCTATTTGTTTTGGGTAATAATATAGAAGAAAGTTAAAAAATTGCCTTCTATACCGTTTTTGAACAGGAGTTAAATTAGCATCTTAACCTCGATATTTTAACAACGTATCAAAAATACTTCAGAGTATTCTTTCAAATCGAAATTTCACATTTTATTACTGAATAGCATGTATACATATGAGTCTAAAAATACACGTTCATAAATACATATATATGCACTTTTATTACTTATATTTTAGTCAATAAATAATTTATAATTATATTTGTAATAAATTATAATCAAAATTGTAATGTTTTGTCATTTTATTTCTTTATTACGTCATATATAGTATTATTACATCAATACAAAAATTTCTTTATTTTAAATTTATTAAAAGAAAATTTATTTATTAAGAGAAAAATTATTCATAAAATAAATTAAAATAAAGAATAATAAAATAAAGGAATTTTGTTTTAAAAAATTATTAATTAGAAAGATTTACAGAAATAAATTTCAAAATAGTATTGACAAAAGTGTGGGTGCGGTTAAGGCGTGCTATCATTTGTTAACTATCATTGGATCAATACTCACGCGCGCAAGGATAGAGAAAAGCCAGGTGTCGTGAACGAGTTTTGTCCTGCGTATCTGAACAGTCCACCTGACGATCTATACATTTGCGCGCTTGCTTTTAAAATCATCAAAGTAATGTTATAGTAAATTTTTATTATTCTCGGATTAAAATATAATTAAATTTTATACATGTTCAAGGTAACTTATGATTGGTTTATAAATTTTCAATCAAATATTTGCTTAAAAAATTAAAATTCTTTTCAGAGAGTATCATAACTAATTTTTATTGTTAAAGTATTAACCAATCCTTAGTGCGATGTGACGTCAGGAAATTCAGGCGCAGAATCCACATCTCTAGACTTCCGATTACTCACATTCTGTCGAGTTTTCGCATTTTATTACGCAAAACGTCTGGAAATTTAAATGTAATTTGGTAATGTATAAGAGAAAACAATTTTTAAATTCTTTTTTGAAATTTAATTTATTTTACTTTCATTTCATTTTTTTTTTTTTTTATTATATTTATTTATTTTTTGTTACTTATATTTTTACGACGATATAAGATATATCGAACAATGTAATAACACAAAATAATCTTAATTCATATGATAAACAATACATTACTATGTCGTACAATTATTATAACATTTTCTTATTTATGACAAACGTTTTAAACTCTCAAGTTAATTAACTCTCAAGTTAAATTATTATATGTAATTAAATGTATATTTAATTATATTATTGTATATTTAATATTTTCCTGAATTTATAATATAATATTTTTTTTTTATAAGTATTTGAAAATTTTTCAAGTAATATTTTTTAGTTATATATTTTAGTAATATTTTTTT